TAAAAACATACGTTGTCAGTATAGTGCTTAAAAGAGGCTGGTAGTACTAGGGTTAGAATATTTCATAAGTTTTTTCAATAACACTTGTTCTCGATATGACAGCAAAATGGCTAGGTAATGTTGTATTCACGATATTTACCGGTTTATTATGGTTATATTATAGAAATGTTCGACGACATAGTTTAGAAACAGCGCGTGATCGCGCGGTAGCTACAGCGGCGGGTGCACAAGCAGATGCGTTAACAACATCTATATAGACGGATAAACAGATATTTTCTTTCTGATAAATGAAAATTCTAATATAGTATTGTGATTTAATCCGGCCATCAATTGTTATTCGTTTGCCAGTTCTGTTTCTGCATTTTTTTCTGCTTTTACAAGAAAAATGACACGATGAACAAACTGTAACTTTCTTTCCAATGAAATGATTTTTTCACAAACTTTCCTCTGAATCACACACAAAAGCCCACCACATCACTAAATAAAGTCAGTGAAACATGCAGTCACGAACTGTTCAACGCAAAAACCAACTCGGTGTTTCTTCATGCACTTTACTCCAGAATATCACTGAGTTGGCTGCAGATTGGCTGACAGCTTCTTCGTTGAAAAGTTTGTGATTACATGCTGCACTGACTTTATTCAATGATGTGGGGGGCTTTTGTGTGTGATTCAAAGGAAAGTCTGTGTCACGGACTTTTTTTTGCATTTATACTGAAGTATTTTCAGTAAAGGTTGACAAGCCTATTGATCCTTTTGCTGTATTGTCCGGTTTCTATCAATAAAGTTTGAGTTGTTTTTTCGACACAAACATTTACACCTGCAAAGAGCCACCTTTAACGATGAAAAAACACCGATGAATCGTTATATCGCACGTTGCCATTACCAGTGGATTTCATCGAGTCAGTATCACATTGCTGCTGACTTTCCACGCTGTAAGCTAGAACTTTTTCTGGACGGAAAACTCCCTATATGGGATTAGCAAACATCGCGTTAAAAAGATTTTGAAACATTGGCATCATATAAGTCTGAATATCGACATCTTGCTTTATAAGAGATCAAGTGCTATTGAAAAAACTTATGAAATATTCTAACCCTAGTACTACCAGCCTCTTTTAAGCACTATACTGACAACGTATGTTTTTATAGAATGATTTTTTTATTCTTGCATCAATGTCCTGTAAGAAAATGTGTTGTTTTCATATCCCATCAAATAAAAAATCGTTTTTCATAATCATTTTTATAATATTCAAGACAGTTTTATTCAAACTGTATGAGAAAAAGAAGTTTTCAGTCTATAAATGAAAAGCAAACGTAGACACAATATACAAACCAGCATCGAGTAAAACAATAAATTGGTATATAAAGTTGAATATGTAAAAAAATTCATCGCCTCCGATGTGATATTAGAGCACTAGCAAATAAGAGGATATGTCTTTTCGCATAAGATATCCCGTGTGCGGACTTTTTTTCATCTCAGCGCGTCG